TAAGGTGAATCCGTCCCCATGTCTTTGCCTGCAGTCCTGTCCCTACAGACCACTGCTGAACTTGGGGCTTTGTAAGAGCAGTGTCCTACAACTTTGGCCACAAGTTAGCTCCACACAGCAAAAGCATATATGCTCACTCCTTGCCGATAGCTTTCCTGCAGAGGAGCCTTCACACCAAGCACCCCCATGCTGGTGTTCACTTTAGAAGGACTGATACCTGCATCTAGCATTGTGTGTATCATGGCTGTAGTGAGTGACTCAAAATTGTGCTATGGGAGGAGAAACTCCTGCTTCATCAGCTGGTGCCTTGCAGTAAACACAATGGCAATCACAACACATCACCGGGTAAGATCTGGATAGAAATGAGTCAAAGCACACATTCATTTAGAGTACAATGCTACCAGTCATTATGCTCCTTAAACTGACTTAACTACAGTTATTAGTGAGCAGACAGTTTCACAGGGCAAGTTGTATTACCCTGGCAGTAAACACCAGAAACACACAGCGTGTATAGAGCTGGGTGAAACGAGCAGCTCGTAACCACGGCTCATTAGTGCTGTGATCAGTCTCGGTCCCCTTCATTTTGACGTGTTTTTTCTTGTCCTCTTTCTTTCAGGTAATCGTGCTCTCCTCCGCACTCCTAACACCACGCAGTGCTGTTGAGTTGTTGTTTGGCACAGAGCGTCTCCAGCCTGACGCTGATATCTGATGGAGGAAGATCTGTGGAGAAGATGAGGGAGTACCTCAGCTGGAAACATCCAATCTCTGCTCTGTCACTCTTCCCAATAGCCTTCCAAAAAGTGACATGTCCTCTGCTGAAGTTACGGCTCTGGCTGAAGCAGGGTGAAGCAGCTGGGCATCTACCTGCACGGGAACATGTGCAGCTTACAGGCAGCTCTTCAAAATGGTCCGGACGTCCCGCGACAGTTCCCTGCTCCTTCACGGTCACACCAGGCAGAGCTGACTCACCCCAGCCCTGCCCTGTGTGCAAGGGGGATCACTTCTAATAATTCCCTAGAACAGGTGCAACTGAGGACCAGGTGATACTGAATTTGCACTCCCCAAACAGTACTTCTTTGTGTGAGTATTCTTGATGTTTTAGCTGGGGTAGCTTCTGGTGGGAAATGCTGCTGAGGGAGTGAAAGGCTAGCAAAATCCACCCTGTCTGTCACCTTACCTTGCAAAACACCTGTGCCTTATACAGCATTAACCGCCTCTGCCCTTACTTTGTCCCTCACCCCAAAGAGGTGACAGAGCACAGCCCTGATGTAGCCAGCAGAGCAGTTCCCAGTCGGGTGATGTTCTCCTGGCAGGACTGGTAGAGGCAGAGAAGCAGAGAGCCAGACTCCCAGGCTGAGTTACACGGTTGCTTCTTTCTCAGCTTCCTGTTTTGTGCTCTAGTTTCTTCACCCACAGTCCTGAGAGAAAAGACTGGTTTTGATGGCACACTTCTCTGTGGGTTTACATTGGAGGACATATGGGCTGTGATGGTTTGATGATAACCCTGGAAGAATCCTCCCCTCACATGCATTTAGAAAAAGGGAAGAGGAAGAAAAAAAAAAAAAGTCACAGCACCAGATTCTTTCTTGAGCTACGTTTCTGAGCAGCTTGATTAAAGAACAGCTTTTTTTTTTTTTCATTTGTGATCATGAAAAAGCCACTATCAAATTCAGTTATATAATTTTTCCTTATGAAACTTTGATACAATCTGTGATAAAAAAGCATCAGCCAATAGAGATTGTGATTACATATAGCATCAAGACTTCCAGCATAAAATGGTGGGGTTCTAAAGCTACATCCTCTTACTCCAGCCAAGGGATGCTAAGATTACAGTTTACACTGTAAGAATGTGAAATTTTAAGTGGTGTTCACTCTGTCATATCATTCTTTACTATACCAAAGGAATAGATTAAATGAGAAGTAGCTTTTCAACCTTTGTTCACAAGCTAGTTTAAGTTCTCTTAGATTTTTATAATGGTCTTCAGAAAAGGTTGCAGTTTGAGTTAAATTCACTTTTGAGTGGGTGGAAGGGAACAATGGGTTCATTATAAAGTACGGACAACGTTGCCTCTATGGAAGAGAGGTTTGCAATAGCTGTAGAATGGAACTTTGTGCTGTAAGAGGTGAGAAATACTGTGAGATTGCAAGGCTAAAAGCTTGAAGAAACAGTTTGAACAGAACAACTGGAAAGCAGGTAGCCAGCCTCTTGGTTTCTCTTCTGTCCTTCTGTACTGTTTAATCTTAGAATATGGATGTTTTGTAAATTCTGCAATCAATAAAGCAATGCTGTTAAAATGACGAACCTCATCCATCTTCTTCTTCTCTCCTAGCACACAGGGCTACACGTCAGGACTGCATATTCCTGTGACGTTTTTCTTTTGCATTATTTGATTGCCCCCAAGAACCTAGACTTTCTGTCTTGGGAGTTGTCCTGGAGGGGTTCCACACCCTGCTGGTAGCTGAAAGGCTCTCGTGTGTCTAGTTGTCATTGCTGACCAGTAAGTCCAGGTGCTCACAGCTCTGAGATGCTGCTGGTGTCTGAGGATAGAGGCTGGCAGCTGTGGTCTTCTCTTCCTCACCTGTCTTTCGTCAGATGCTCTCAGGTCTCTGACTTGGCCAACTAAGGACGTACTCTATAGGATGTTGAGAAGCTGGGGCTGAGTCTAAGCAGACACTGATACTCTTGCACTTCCTATGGGTCAGGCAGCTCCTCTGACTGAGGCAGAGACTAGTTTTTCAGGCCTACACTTTGGAGGACTCTCTTCAGTTTGGGGGGCCACAGCTGTGGCAGCAGACACTGGGACTAAGCCACTATCCTTATATTCAGTAACTGAGGAAAGGGAAGAAGGTGGTCACAAAAGCCTACTCTTCTTCTAGACCAAGACTGGTGTGGAGTCTTTCCAGTGGCCCTAGTGCAGCAGCCTATTTGTAGGAAATCGCTGTAGTAGCTACACGTAGCCTGGACATGGGGAAAAGGCCAGGGGGATGAGAGGTCTCCTGCTAGTCCTGTGTGAGCAGGAAGAGGAAAAGAGACTTTGCTTGGACAGGTGCAGAACCACAGCAAAGAGTGTCTAAGCCCTTGGGGTGTGACAATAAGTGATGCTCACAAGGGAGGAGGAGGAGAAAACACAAAGCCACACTTGACAAATAGGTTTACTATTATATTAATAAGCTAAGCAACATTTGATAACAAGCTCAGATTTTGTTTGCAAGTCCAGTCCTAAGTCACTTTGCTGATGGTCAAATGGATTATCATCAGCAAG